CAGGTACTTCTCCTTCAGGAATTATCAGTACAACTCACTAAGAACAGCCCAGCTGCTCCCCACAAACTCACACTAGAATCAAGTCAAGGCTATTGGTGTAGATGACAGTTTCAGGCAGTTCACAGGCTGCAGTGCTGGGAAGGGGCAGCAGTGCTGATGAGGCAAATCTACCCCTGGGACAGCAGAAAGAAATGAGCCTGTCTGTGGCAGGCCAGGTGAAAAAGATGTTTGGTTCGTTCAGGATGCGCTGCCCTGTCTATAAGCAAAAAGTTCACTAGCAGACCTTGCAGGAACTTCATTTGTAATACAGAAGTCTTTAATTAATTTTCATGTTGGATTCCTTCACCTCCCTCCCCCACTTCGCTATCATTACTAAAAGGAGAGCTTAGAAGTATATGGAAAGGACTGCATCTTTACCAAATTTGCAAGCTCTTCTTATTTATTGTAGTCATAGACAGTCTTACTCCCTATATGTAAGTTCAGGCTTTTTTTAGAACACTGTTAATTTTTATGATATCTTACAGCAATGACTCCTAGGGATTACTTGTGCAGTGTATAAACAAACAAAAAAATCCCACTTTTATTTGCCCATACTGTATTTGCAGCCTTTCAGGCTACCTGATCATCTCCTGACTGTCCTTCTCAGGAAACATACTTTTGCCATGTTCTCCTCATTCAGTTTTTCATTATCTATATAATTGTTCTTCACGCAGAAGTTTTTGCAGACCTCTTATCTGCTTCATCATCCATCTCTGAACTTCCTCCAGACTGGCTATTTCTGTTCAGTCCAGAACAGAGTTCAATGAGCCAGCTCCTCAGCAGCATGAAACTGGCACTGCTCCATCACTTCTCCAGCTGAAGGTCTGGACAGTAGTCAAGACAAAGGCACGCCATCAATTACCTACTGGTGTTACCGTATTTTCAATGTTATTTTCAGCCTATCTATTATATAACTGCTTACATTGTTTGCTTTTTTTTCCTCTTTGAATTAAAATCTAAATTTTTACCATTTCTTCAACAGAGAGTATCAGCAAGTTACTTACTGCAATCCTCAGATCTTTTCCTGAGTTGCTACAGTTAATTTAGAATCCATTAAGATGTATGAAAAATCAAATTAATGCCTTCTGGTGTGCAATGTTTTGCAATAGTCAACAGTGTATTTCATCTACCACTGTGCTGTCCATGCACCCAGCTTTATTAAGATCCTCTGGAGTTCTTCAGTCTTCCTTGATAATTTGATGTCATCTGCAGAGTCTCATTGTTCACTCACTTCCCAGATCATTAACACATGGATCAAATACCACAACACTGATCTTTGTGGATGATTCATGTTAACCTTTTTCATGCTAAAAATTGACTTCTTTTTTTTCTTTTCTGGGTAGGGTGTGTCTACCCTTTCTTTTCTGTCTCAGGCACTGTTTAATTGACAATAGTATTAACCTGAGAGGTTAAATTTTCCCTTCAGCAAGATAATTTGTCAAAGGCTTTTAAGAAAACCCAAATACATGCATTTTCCCGATGATATGTCCAAAGAATTCTGACTGACTGGGGATGCTTGACTTTTCTTCTTGGAAGCTCTGCTGGTTTAAAGTTACCATACTATGGTCATGTGGGTAATTTCTGTTTCTATTACTGTTTCAGCCCATTTACCTGGTATTTGTGGCAACTCCTTCTGCCAAGAGGTCAATCTTGTCAGGGGACAGGACAAAACATTCTGTGATGCAGCAAGGCTGGAGTGCACACGTGTGTATATATATCACATCTGTGTGTCTGTTGATATGAATGTATGTTTGACATGCAGCAACTTCGCAGTCCTGCATCCTTATGATTTCATTTGACCCAAGTATTTCCTAATTTTCCCTTCTCTGTTTCATCCTCAATGTTTGACCTCATCTCCTATATCTGGAATCGATCAACCAAGTTTGTTATTTGGCAAGACTGTTGACCTTGAGAGTATGGGCAGGCATCTCACGTTCCTCGGCTGCTTTGCCTGGTGTTACTTGAGAGGAATCCAGAGTTTGGTCCCTCTCAGAGATAGCGTGATGAGTTGATGAATGCCCATGCTTTGCCCAGAGGGTCACATGGGACTAGAGGCCATGGAGCAGTTACAGGAATAATTGTTGCAGGTGCATTCATTTTTAATCCCACAGGGCACCTAGACAGATTGCAGATCTCCTGGTGTAATGCCAGCTGACTGTGTGGAGGAAGATGAAGCTTTGCTAGCTGAGACCAGATCTTAGCATCTCACAGCAAAGCTGAAAGCTGATGTGCTGGCCACATTCTGGAACATTTCCCTACCTGAGAAGTGCATTTGAAGTAAAAACCTGAAGATCATTGGGCACAATATAACGATTTTAGGGTCAAAATGGAAGGCAAAACCACCATAAAACACTGTTCTGCACTGAGGAACTCCACAGTACAAGGAGTTGGAATTGTAATGTTAAAGGCAGACAGAGGACAAGACTATGAAAAAGGCACAACAAGGAGGTGAGCTGTATTGTCAGATTCAGTCAGCAGAGTTCAAATCCCAGCTTCTGTCTCTTAAAAAGCCCCAAATTCACAGAGGACCTCAAGAGGACGCACTGAGGTACTTCCCTCCACTGGAGGAAAAAAAAAAAAAAAAAAAACGGAAAAAAAAGGGGAGATCAGTCTCCTAGGACTAACTCACTTCTCAACTCACAACCTCAATTAAGGAGCCTTCCTCCCCAAGGCAGACAAACAGTAACTGTCTGATGGTGGATCAAGGATAGCAACAACCCCCTATATCGTTACAGCTGAGGATGCTCCTGTTCCCTTCCATGAGACAGTAATACATAGTTATTTCTGGTTAGATGTGAATGCACATTTTAGAGGCAAAAGTTCTTAACACCAAGACAGACCAAAGATCATAGCTAAGGTGATTCTATGAATTCCATAGCTTGTGTTTTTCTTTTCTGGCCTCAGGAACAACTTGCACAGCTGATTATTGCTGGGCAGCACACACCAAGTTAAGCCTCAGCAGCTCTGACTTTCTGCAAGTCTCATGGAGATCCCGTGATTTTTAAACAGATTCAGAGTGTCCCCTGGCAATGAAATACAACATCTTGAACTTCAAGAAGAACAGCTAAATGTTTTTTTGCAAAGAGCTCAAAGTGACGAACAGCCATTTTGCTCAGCTCTAGTTACCTTAATAGGAATGTAAAAGGAGAGAGACTTGATCCAACTCTCCTCCGTGCTGGCACAGGAAACTCCGTTACTATTTCTGTGCCCATGTAACAGGCTTAGAGGTTCTAAACATTTCGTTCATTTCACCTTTCCTCATCATAGGTCATTCCCTCTAATCCCTTTAGCATCTTTGTGGCCCTTCTCTGGATTTGTTCCAACTTGCCTGGGTCTCTCTTGCAGCAAGGTGCCCCACATTGCACGGTGCGACGCCACAGCGCTACAGGGGAGAGTAACTCTGGAAAGTACACAGCAGGGCAGACATATGGACCAACTGAGCAGTAGCTTCGCCAGACATCAGGTTGCACATCAGCTCACATCATTTGATAGCCACTGTCTCACTGGGACCTCTCTGAACATAAGCTGCTTTTGCCACCGTGCTCTGCACAACATGAAATTTGGAGATTCTCTTCATTCCAAAGTAGATCCAGTATCATCTTTAAACTACACATTGCTAATTGCCACTTGCTTTACCAAAGCCTGTTAATAATGCTCATTTTTTCAGCCTAGCTCTTCTTTTTTTCTATTCTGATTTTTTTCTAGTGTCTTTCAGTTGTGTCAACTGTAAATTTGAGAACTCTTTCTTTCACATTTTCCTCTGCCCTTTTGGACACCACCTTTGGGGAAGGATAAAGAATGTCTCTAACCCCTCTGTTTACACCCTGTCAGCTAATCCATGATTCATTTCACAGGATTTGTATCAAAACCAATTTGATCTAATTTCCCTAATAAGATCTTGCACAGCTTTGTGTCAAAAGCCCATGCACGGTCCAGAGACAGTCTATCCACTGCATTCCTTTTTCCCCACTAATTGTCTAATTGTATCAAGAAAGGTTATTGTCTGCTGTACTCCTGTTTCATAAACCCACTGCTGTTTATCACTAACAATGTTGTTAGCCTTTATGTGCCTATAAATGCCCTCAGACGAGCATGCTCCCATCCCAGAGATTCTGGATGTAAATACACAGGTTTAGACCAAGTCGAGATTGCACTTTAGGTTTTTATCCATTAGCGTATCTCCCTCGGGCGGTGATGTTGGGTTAATGTTACAAGTTTCTCCAATTCTTCTCTAGCCTTTCATCTTTTGCTATTTCTCTATAATAGCTGGACTGCTTATGAGTTAAATGCTCTCTTGAGAACAATAGCAATAATAAGAGAGGGAAAGACTGCTAGATGGACAGGACCAGGAAGGGACAAAAGATTAGTGTTATAAAATCAACACAGTAAGTATTGCCCCCAATTTTTTTTCTTTTAAACTTCAAGGATTACAAGTTTGAGATCCATGCAGATAAGGCTGTTTTATTGCACACTCTTTGAGGTTATTTTTGCCAGAAATAGTAATTTGCAGCTATATCCACTTCTTTACCCCACTTTGGGATATGAAAATTACAGGAATTCAGTAGTCCCTATCTACAAGCCTTCACCTAACTCAAAAGAAAACACTCACACCTGCTTAGCAAGACAGCCAGAAGAATATCTGGCTCTGTAAATTTGGCTTTGCAACGAAAGTAATTTTTCCCAACAGAAGAATTCTCTGTTGGCTAGAGTTATCCCCAATTCACTAGCTTAATTCCATCTGAGCATCTAA